TGGATATTTTGCTGATCGCTTTGGAAGAAAATATTCTATTTTGGGTGGTTCATTAGTATTTATAGTCGGCAGTATTTTACAAGCCACTGCCACCACGTTTGCTCAATTATATATAGGTAGAATTGTTTCTGGCATATCGATTGGGTAGGTCAATGCTATTATCTGCATATCATCAACATAATGTTTTTTCGCGTTTTACTTGACATCCATTTCTCCTCCGTATCCCTCAGTATCCTATCAATGATGGTGCCTCTGGTATGTCTATAATGAACTGATTGATTTAAAAAAAGTGTTATTATTAACGCGGTCTTCGCCTTCGTTCATGCATTACAGTATCAATCTGAAATTAGTCCCAAGGACATTCGTGGGCGCTTGGTCTCTCTTCAGCAATTTTCAATTACTATAGGGTAATCAATATTATTATTGTCTTAAAAATGTAAATTTGATATAATTACAACTTCCCTATTTATATCACGTGACCCTTCAGTATTGCAGTTTCATTCTGGATCGATTATGCAGCAGAGAAAATTGATTCTTCAAACCAATGGAGAATTCCGTTGGGGATTCAATGTGTTCCTGCCTTTTTGCTTGGTAAATTATCCATTATATACCTGTTCTTGCATGAATTTCATCAATTAACCTTTTTTTTTAACATTCGCACATCAGCATTAGGAACTTTGATCTTACCTTTCTCTCCTCGCTGGCTGTTAGATCACGATCGAGATGATGAAGCACTTGTAGTGCTAGCAAGACTTCGTGCTAATGGTGACAAAACTGATCCTGTTGTTACTAATGAATTTAACGAGATTAAGGAGAATGTTGGATTTGAACGTGAAATTGCTGCAAAGAGTTATTTAGAACTAGTAAAAATAGGTCCTGAAAATATTCGTAAAAGAGTTATACTTGGGGTCTCTATTCAAGCATTTCAACAGTTAACCGGAATTAATGCTATCATGGTATGTGTGATCTGTTTATGAGATTTAATTCGATTAATGTTAATGTTGGAGGTGCTTAATTGATATTTCTTTTTTAGTATTATGCACCACAAATATTTCATAACGCTGGTTTAGAAAGTAATTCTTCATCACTCCTTGCCACTGGTATAAACGGTATGTATAACTTATCATTACTCAGCTTTTAAGGTAGTTAATTTATTATAATCAACAAATATTAAAAAAACAATTAATATTGTTCAAGGTATTGTAAATATGCTTGCTACAATTCCCGCTATACTCTGGATAGATACATGGGGTCGTAAACCTACTCTGTAAGTTATTTTATTAAAATATACGTTGCCAACGCCTAACGTTAATTTTCTTTGAAAAAACGAAACAGTGTATCCGGCGGAGTATTAATGGGAATTTTCATGTTAATCATCGGGATAATATTGGCTGTACATGGAACAAAATATTATGATGAACTGCAGGGAAAACATTTTTTGAGTTTAGATTCAGTTACTAGCTCTTATTCAGTTATAGTATTAGTTTATTTATTCGTAGCGTCCTATGCTTATTCTTGGGGTCCGGTTTGTATATTTTAAAATTTATTATTATTATTATTATTATTATTGGATCTGAGTTAATTAATTAGATTATGATTTTTTTTAGGGTGGTTGGATTTATCCTGCGGAAATTTTTCCTTTACGGTAAAGTGATTACATGTAAATTACTTTGACGCGTTAAATTTATTATCTCGGTGGGACTAACCGTTTTACTCTCCATTCTTGTTTAATTATAGTATTCGAGGAAAAGCATTATCAATAACAACGGCTTCCAATTGGCTTTTCAATTTTATTATTGGACAAGTTGTTCCAACACTGTTGGATAGGTGCTTATTTTATTTTTATAACTTTAGGAAATAATTAATCAAACCTAACATACTATTTCTTTTTATATATTACTTAATGACTAATAGCATAACATGGGGGTAAGTTCTTTTATAGAATATTTCAGTTTATTTTCAATAACCTTATACTTTACCTAATCCTTTTCACACTCCACCTATTTATCAATACGAATAGAACCTATATAATATTTGGTATACTCGGTCTAACGATGGGCATATCAATATTACTATTCTTTCCAGAAACAAAAGGTAAAACATTAGAAGAAATGGATGACATATTCGGTGACAAAAAATCTGCACTACCAATACATACCAATATAAGACGAAATATTGAAGATCGTGAAGTATCACCAAATGTGAAGCAGGAGCCAAATAATTGAACAAACTAGGGACATTAAGACTAAGAGTATACCTTCCGTTGGTATTACTTTCCCTGGATAATTCCAATGAAATTATTGAACAAGTTATCTTGATAAAGTTGAATAGTCTTATTTTAGTCATTATTGTATTTCCTTTAGTTATTGTTTTATTTATTTGCTATAAAGTAAAGACTTAGACCAGAGTAGTATATACCTTTCTTTTTGTGCATACGTATATCGTGCGAATAATATATTGTATAAAAATGTTTCTATTTTTTAACATGCAAATAAATAAATGATATATAAAATTATCAATTCTTGTGAAATATGAAATGTAATTTATAATGACTTGAGATTAATTGCAATAATCATATTTAAATTCAGAGAATTTATAACCGAATTTAATTAATAATTTATGCTTGTGAACAGATTAGAATTTGTCGAACATCATATTACCGCACTCTGGATCATAACGAAGTTTTTTTTTTTTTTTAGGAAACTTCGGAAACATTATACGTTTATTTTTTATTTATGTGAAATAAAACATAAAAAAATACAAGGAATTTCTCGGTTATAGTTTTTATTATTATTTTAAATATTAACTAAGCTATTAAACCATATAGCGTACATATACTTGCCGGCAAAACCCGGACAAATCCCAAACCTCAAAAAACAAATTGCTTTTATAAAAAATTAAATCAAAAAATTAATTTCAATATTTTGTAATATATTATATATAGCTATATACTGGTATATAAGAATATATAACATTTGTTTAAATAAAGATTATTAACAAAGTTTTTGAGATAATAGTTTGGGCTTGAGTTTGGGATTTGAGCGCAAATTATAATAGTTTGGGATTTGGGAGCTAAATATTTAGAGATCTATTTTTGTGCATTTACTCTAAATTTTATGCACCCAGAAAATGTGTACCAGATTGGGATCGGATGATCGTCCGGAAAGATAGGTCGGAATATTAATAACATTCAGA